TGGCTGGCGCCTTAGCCGGTTGAGCTATAGGCGCCGAGCCTGGAAGTGAGTCTTGATGCTAATCTAGGTTCAGCCATCCAAAGAGGATTAACACCATCCTCCTTTGCACTGTTTATTAGGCAAGGGCATGTGCTACAGTTCTAGGAAATGAGATGTTTAGGTAGTCTGTTGGGCTATTTCTGTGGTTTTCCTTGTTACCAAAAAGGACACAAGGGAGAAGATAGTGATGATAGTAGCATAATTTCTTAATATCCCAAAGTCCCTCCCTAAAAACACATGGCAAATAGGATTGCAAAATTGAAGCCCACGGATAACATCTACAGTAAAGCCAGATGATGAGGAAACACGAAGAGTTATGAACTGACATGACCTCCAGCCATTATATAAGAGAGAGGGAGCACGCATCTAACAGAACTGCCAAATAAGTAATGGGTACTGAATGCAAAAATTCTATGAGCTATATTGAGAATCACAACTGAAACTGAAAGGGGTTTGCACACTTCAGTACACAGCAAGTGTTATTGGTATACTTGGAACAGTGTAGGCCTGTGAGATAGAATCCGGGGTGAACCAAGATAGGGGTATCTTTGTATACTTGAGGACTGCTTTGTTTAGTTTCCTCTGCCCAGAATTAAGATTTGTCTATCTTGCTGATTGCTGACAACTGGCCTTTGGTCAAGTTCCAGGATGCAAGTTTCTGCATGAGCACCATCTTTAGGGATGGTGACACATTTTACAGGGTCTTCTCATTCTAAAATCCTGCCTCTTCTGGACCAAATACCTGCTTCCTTCATGTCTTCTCACTATTACATAACTCACATGTACCTCACTAGCACAGTTTCATCAGGCACAATTTGGAATTACAATGGCCGCTTTGGGGAAAAACTTTGGATGTGATGAAATTGTTCATTTGGGAAGTTCCTTAAACAAAAAGGGAAATAACCCTCATGAGATTGTTTTGTGTCTAGAAGACATCACTTTACTTAATGTAATAGACATACCTTCCTTGTTTTCTATGTTTCAGGGTAAAATAAGTACTGGCTTCTTAATTGTATAACTACCTAAAGCTGGCTTTACCTTACTTTGTTTTCTTTCTTTTCACCTCATTTTTCCATTCTTGGGAAACTTTTAAAGATTAATTAATGAGGGAAAAACAGGTTGTCACTTCTATATACTCTAAAAACATCTATTCAAGATAAATAGTTAAAACAACTAAAAGAGGCCAGGCATAGTGGCTCATGCCTGTAATTAACATTTCGGGAGGCTGAGATAGAAGGATTGCTTTAGGCCAGGACTTCTAAACCAGCCTGTACAATAGTGAGACCCGGTCTCTACAAAACTGGAAAAATTAGCTGGACATGTGCCTGTAGTGCCAGCTACTCAGGAAGACTGAGGCAGGAGGATTGCTTGAGCCCAAGAGTTTAAGGTTGCTGTGAACTACGATGATACCACTGCACGCTAGCCCAAGCAACAAAACAAGACCCTGTTTCAAAAAACAAAAACAAACAAAAAAAAAGATTAAAATGTTCATTTTGCTTTAAGAAAAAATTTTTACATATTCTTGATTACTAACGAGATGGAGCATTTTTATATGTATATTATTCATTTGCATTGTTTGAATTGTTAATATTCTTTGTCCATTTTTAATCTTTTTAATGTGTGTGAGTTCTCATCAGAATGGATATTAATCTCTTGACTACTATATATCATGTAAACATATTCTTCATGTCTATTTTATCTCTTTATATTCCATATAGAAAAAATGGCATTTCTGATGTAGCAAAATCTGTCAGTCTTTCCTTTGTGACTTCTGGGTTTTATATCATAATAAGAGAGATTTCCCAAGCTAAGCCACCAAAGTACGTATGCCCAGAATGTAATGGCCCAAATAAAATAGAAATTTATTTCATTAACAAAATAAATTAGAACCTCTGTGAGTTGACCATCAGAGACACTAACAAACTGGTCACATACAGAGAGGGTCAACATAAGGAACTAGACCTACTGTACTGATACGTACATGTGCACGTCCGGTCTATGAAAATTAGGTCCACTTTAAGAGGTGCTCAATGTAGGTAGGTGGTCACAATAGAGATTCTACCCCAGGGCATTTCTACTTTGAGATGAGAAGGTGGGTTCTATTCAAATGCAGTCAGAGACCCATACTGACACTGTCTCTGTCCTCTTTGGCACATGGTTTCCAATGTCATCTTGATTATGCAAGACCTTCCCACCTCATGGGAGTAGTTCCAAGCATAGAAGAAATGTATGTAGAGGGTTTTATGGGATTGAGCTGCAAGTTTCTTTTTTTTTTTTTTTTTT